GGGGGGGGGGGGGGGGAGGAGGACTCTTCCTAAAACCCTTACTAAGGAGATGCTCAAGTGAATTAAACATTATACTTCTTTGTTAATGGTTTTTATTTTTTTTTTGTTCCTGAATTTGATGTCTGTAATGCTAAAAAACAAATTCACAAGCACATTTACATTATAATGATTAATTATTATAAAAATATAGTCCAATCTCTTCATCTATAAATCATATGTACATGAAAAACGATACGGTATAATACATCTGTCAACTATAAATTTCAATTTAATTCTAAAATTGAGGATAAAATTCAATGTCATCTCATGATGATCTGAAAAGTACCTTTATACATCGTTTTGTAAGGAGATCTGCTACTATAGTTGAGTGGCTCCTTTTATTTCGAATTTTAAAGGTGCTTGCAAGGTCAGTTTTGATAAAGCCATCAAAGGTAGTGGAGTGATCCAGGTAGCTTTTCTTTGCCGTTGTAGAACCATTTTAAACTCGTTAACTACCCAGCAGTTCGCTGTTTCACCGAAACAACTTCGATCCATCGGCAATCGGCAACGGTCGTGTGTCGTCAGAAACGAAACCTGCATCACCGATTTCCAAAATCAAAGGTGGATGTTTGAATATGAAAGGCTTGGTTTTGTCTTGAAGCATTACCACGCATGAATGTGGACCTCCTGAGGTCACGGAAGTTATTGAGCAGAGTGATACACTCTATAATTGACTGTCTAAAGCAGTATTGAGTTAGATTGAGTCGTGTTCCAGAAATTCTCTCCCGATAACAGTTAGCATTTCTACGATCCTGATTGGTTCTTGTGTCACATTATCAACGAATCAGAAATTATATCAGTGGTTTTCTCGCGCTCGGCGACGGCTACAAGAATTTGCTTTACAATTTGATTCATGATTAGACACTCAATTCAACACCGTTCTAAGCCCTTTCTAAAAGTACGTTAAGTAAAACGCCCAAAAGACAACCCTTAAATTTGTTACCAAAACATACTGGCATCGAACGTTAAGAATCTTAAACTAAAAATAAACTTAAAGGATCAAAATCCCTTTATAGAATCTGACAGACAAATTACCGGCAAAGTTTTATAGCACAGGCAAAAGCAATCGATCCCTTATTCTATGGAGATGTATCTGCCAGACACTTTTTTTGCTAGCTAACTATGCTAACGCTACTCCCGAGGAAAAAATATAAATTACTCATCCTTGGAAACACTGTTTCACGATTTGAGTTTAAAACGGCAGTTCTGTAAAAGGTTATTCGGTTCTTTTTTCTTTCGTTTTTATTTTTTTTTTTGTCTTTTTTTTTTGAAAATCGATCACATTTCCCCCAGTTAAGATCATGCTGTTGTCAAACTGTGAATGTCAAACTCCTCGGAAAATCTTTCGCCTCGTTCAAAACGAAGGCGCAACAATTTTGGAAGAAATCTTAACATCCAAAGTGGTTGTTTTCTTAACAGAGAGATTTGGAGTCAAGTTTACGGTAAACGTGAATTTTGTACCACGTGATCAAGTCTTCTTATATTTGTCTTTTACTGCTTAGTACTTCGACACAAAAATGAGTAGATTCACTAGTTTTATCCATCAGAACTGTCTTGGACTGTTTTCATCTGCTCATTTCCTTTTTTGAGAAATTCTCAACTGAATCTGACTTTTACAGTTTGTCTTAAACGTGACTAAAAGTCTCTCAAAGATCTCGTCTCTTATGACGCATTGAGGTTTGATATTACTCTCTTATCCCACGCGCAAAATACTATACGCCATATTTCGTTAGACGAATTACTTAGACTCAGAAAACAACCGACATTTTACGACGCCACGGCACCACTAGTTTCCCAGCGAAAAGACGTCTGAGAAACGAGCACAGAAATTCCATACTGATGACGATTGGTTGAAGTAAATTTCCCACACGGCACAACCAATGAGAAGCACTACCCAGATCTGGGTGGTGACACGTCATCAGTATGGAATTTCTGCGCGAATTTCTTCTCGGGCGTCATTTCGCGGGGAAACCAGTGGTGTTGCCAAATGTCGGCTGTTTTCTCGGGCTAACGAATTACTCTATTTCCCTACTTTACACCTACTTACTGTACACTTCTTTGACAAAAATCAAAACACCTGTGTAAATGTCTTGTATCCCACGCAATATTATTACACGCCATATTTCGGCTAATGTATAAATCGGCTTGTTTATCTAACCTTTTTGCATTGCATTTCTCTAACAAGAGCCAAAATGTCTGTATATAATTCTGAGCCAGTCATTTACATGCTAGCAATAAATAATTTCCACAGGAGGCCCCTGGCCTGAAATCTGCCACGAATTTTCAGTTGTCCACCGAAGTCTTTCGTAGCCAAGTGATTCACTGCACTGGACCACACCATGGTTTGCCAACGATGGCCAATACTGGCAAGGGCAGCTGTTACTGGAATTTCCCCATCACGAATGGTATAGCCAATAAATAAAGTGAGCAAAGTCATGGGCACACTCGTTATGCAAAGTGATTTATATCGAACCCACACGTTTTTCGACGCTATAAATTTTGGTTTTCGTGATTATGAAGGCTCCTCACACTGCGTAATGGTCGAACGAACTGAGGTATTCCAGAGCCTTTTGATAGCAGAATAAATATTGATCCTGGAGAGAAAAAGGAAAGAAAATGAAATAACTATCAACAATTTGTAAGTTTCGCAGTTTAGAGAATGCAAAGCAACGGGGTGTAGCAAAATCCTAAACTATAAAACTAATCGCTTCGGGCAATCGATCCAATGAGCAAGTCAGAGGTTGAGGCGAACACTTATAGTGAACCCTTAAAGCACGGGAAGATCACACAGTCGCAATAGGTTTTAGCTCGCCATTGTTTGAGAGATTGGCGCAAAATTCTGTTTGCCAATTTTGTTTTGCCATCGCGAAATTTCCTTTACGACTGAACTGAAAAAGTTCTATGCTTACGTTAACGCAAAATATACGACATACCGCCAAAGCAGACATACCTGATTTTGCACCATGCTTGGTCTCTGTGTTCTAAGAAGTTTGACGGTCTGGAACAAATCTACTACTCCTTCAGAACGCATGCGTTCTAGCACAATGCACAGGGCGATGAAAACCCCTGTTCTCCCAACGCCATCACTAAAATATAATCAAGGGGTAAATTAATGAAAACAAACACTTTCAAGACTTGCAATTTGACTACTGCATTTCTTGTTAGGTTCGTTTACCAAGGNAAATTTTGGTTTTCGTGACTATGAAGGCTCCTCACACTGCGTAATGGTCGAAAACACTGAGGTATTCCAGAGCCTTTTGATAGCAGAATAAATATTGATCCTGGAGAGAAAAAGGAAAGAAAATATCAACAATTTGTAAGTTTCGCAGTTTAGAGACTGAAATCACAGAAGGATAAAACTTCCCTGTAATCAAAGCAACGGGGTATAGCAAAATCCTAAATTATAAAACTAATCGCTTCGGGCAATCGATCCAATGAGCAAGTCAGATGTTGAGGCGAACACTTGTAGTGAACCCTTAAAGCGCTGGACGATCACACAGTCGCAATAGGTTTTAGCTCGCGATTGTTTGAGAGACTGGCGCAAAATTCTGTTTGCCAATCATCGCGAAATTTCCTTTACGACTGAACTGAAAAAGTTCTATGCTTACGTTAACGCAAAATATACGACATACCGCCAAAGCAGACATACCTGATTTTGCACCATGCTTGGTCTCTGTGTTCTAAGAAGTTTGACGGTCTGGAACAAATCTACTACTCCTTCAGAACGCATGCGTTCTAGCACAATGCACAGGGCGATGAAAACCCCTGTTCTCCCAACGCCATCACTAAAATATAATCAAGGGGTAAATTAATGAAAACAAACACTTTCAAGACTTGCAATTTGACTACTGCATTTCTTGTTAGGTTCGTTTACCAAGGGTACCGAAAATTTCCCAAAGTAAAGAAGGTCGTTGCTTTAGCATTTGACTCTTGAAGGTTGGTTTTTAAGAGCTACTAAACAGTATATTTAAGTGTCGGAGCATGTCATGCATGTTCGAAAACAGTTGGACCTC